ATATACCATACATTTTATATTATTTTATACTTTATATTTTATTTTATATATATTTTTGAATTATATATATATATATAAATGTAAATCATATTCAAAAATTAACAAAAAAATCTTTAATTAATCATTTATATGCAACACGAAGTATAAAATACGAGGCGAAATTCAAACCCGTAAGTGGATCGTATCCGCATCCGGATAATCTGGCACAATGCTATACGTACTGCTTCAAAAAGACAAACACTTTCTATTCGTAGTAATAATCATCTTACGTCAAATGAATCATATTTCAAAAATATGAATTTAAAAATAAATAATAATAATAATTAATATACATGACAACAATATTAATCGAAGAAATAAAAGAATTGAATAATGAATAACAATAACAATAATAATAATCGTTCGTACATTCGAAAAAAGTTGATTAATATCTCGATAAAAAATAAACTCAAAAGATATGCAAAATAGTTTATTGTTTTATAAAAACAAAAGGTATATTAGAAAGGAAATCATCAATGGTTAGAAAAGTGTCTCTTTAAACGACGAGGTGAAAGCTGCATAGAACGTAAACCGTGTTTCTCTAAGGATTTTTTTTTTTTATTTACTATACCTGACTGACTGACTAACTAACTGATTGACTCATCTTTTCATAGAATACTTAAATATAAAATACATTTAGGAAACTTGTACGATGCATGTATGCATGCATGCACGTATACAAGTATGCATGTATGCGTTCAACGTTACCGTTTTTCCCAAGCCCGTATGGTAAAAAAAAGAAACGGTTTTTATGTTGTCAACGTTGTTTCATTAGAAATAGATATTTTCGAATGATCGAAAGGATTTTAGAATATGTCACAATATAGTTAACGTTATAACATTCCTAAATAAATTAGCATAAATGAACGTTTTCAACGTCATGATATACAGGGATGTAAGATCAACGACACACCAAGAACTTATATCCGGAATAGGGTTTCGTCATTTCTCAACTTTCGCTCAAGCAACCGCATTAAACCATGAAAGTGTCACGAAATCGCACAACAATAACGCACCTGACAAATACAAATACCTGTATAATTTCTATGCATAAATTATTCTATATAATTGAGAATAAAACATTTCAATAGATAATATTAAAATTAATATATATAATATATATATATTAATATATATATATTTATAATAATAAATAATAATAATCAATGGAAAGTAGTATTTCATTTTTTAAAAGTAAAATAAAAAATAAAATGAATAATAATGAAATATTAGAAAACATTATACAACGTACCTGTATACTAATTTACATATTTCAAATTTTTCTATGTAAATATTGATAAATAATATTGAATTTAATCATTGGAAAGTAATATTTCTTTTAGGGATGATCAAATGAAGTTTAAAAATAGTTATAGTATAGTAACTTTGTGTTCGAAGTATACTTATAAAAATTTTCATGATTAATCTGTCAATACGAAATTTAGTTGACGAAGTTATCTGACACGGGGCAAACGAAATGTCGCGTTTACCAATGAAAAGAATAAATATTAGGTTGGAGAATGGGGTGTACCGTTAACTCTGCCGTTACCGCCTCGAGAGACACGGTACATACCTTGTCTACGTTTCCACGAATAAAACCCTTTCGACAGTAACAACAATAAGAAATCAATCATATATTTATAAATTCATTTAAAATCTTTACGATCTAACACGAGTAATATATATATTATAAAATATTAATAACATATATGAATGTAATAATTATCGAGTATAAAATAAATTTATAAATTTAATATTACTCTCGTCCAAAATTACAATTTTTAATGATAAAATTTTACAGGTAACTTGGACATGAAAAGAAGTAGAACTTAGTTTGATTGAGTTTTGTTGAGGACTTTAAATAATAACGATCTAATTAACGAAGTTTAAAGATTGTTGTGTTTGGAATATTAATAAAAAGAAAAATGTATGTCAAATTAAAGAAAAAAGACGCTGAACTTTAAAGATTAAGTTGCTGAAGAAGTCCCAATAAAGGGACGAAACGTCCAACTCAATTAAATTAAGTTCTACTTCTTTTCATATCCAAGTTCCCTGTAAAATTTTATCATTATAAATTTATAAATTTTTATTGAATTTTTATAATCTAACATGAAAGTAATATTATTTGTTATATTTATAGTAGGATTT